TCCAGCTTGAGCTCGAAGTCTAACTTATGTTGTTCCAATGTCTCTTCCTGTATTTGAGCAGTCTGTCTTGCAGCTTGTGCTTGAAATCTTTGATTGCGTTCTTCTTCTGTTTCAGCTGCTCTTTGTACTTGCATTATTTTAGCGGCAGAATATTTTCCATAGAATGGGCGTTTCTTGGGTGGCATAATTACCTGTATCACTAAACAATAATTTGCAATTCACAAAGTTACTAAATCACTTATGAAACCATTTAGCACTATTTAAAGAAAACTGTTTTTGGAAATACTGAATTGACAGTAAGGTGATCTGTGTGTCTCCCGCCATAACGCTTTCTATGTGCAAAACGTGCTTATGTTTGTATGTTTACTATAAACAAATGGCGCAATAATACTTAATTGTCAATTTCGTCATTAAATACTACACCAAACACAAAATAAATAGCACCATTAAATTTCTTGTAAAAATCTGGTTGAGAGTAACTTATGAGAGTAATATGATGCTTTCCCTTCAGCTGTTTTCTTTAAATCAAGTATTTATTGAACGAGTAGATAGGATTAATACGGAAACCAGTATGTTATACTCTGTTCTTAATTTTGTTTACTAATTGTAAGACTTGGCAGTACACACACATAATATTGTTATGTTTTGTCGAACAACTACTTGATGATGAGTTGAGATCCACTTATACTTAAACGTTGTTTTTGTACTTTATTTTAATTAAAGTTTTAATACCTATACCGGCCGTCTCTGCTATACATTTTTATTTCAAGTGGGTTTCTCGTCATCATTAATTACCTCACCAAGGCGATTATTTGAGTTGTAAGTCTATGGTGTTTCTTTGTGTATGTTTCAGCTTACTTAAATTACTCCACTGTTAACCGTACATGCACGTGCGATCCGAACGAAACTAAGGAACTTAAACCACAAAATCGTCAATAGAAGAAATCACACTTCTTTCATTCAACAATGCCGAAACGAAAAAGTTATCCCTAATTTTGTCAAAGTGTACAAACATTATCCACAACCTACAGAAAAAAAACTGCTAAAAGCCATGTTAAACTCAAAATACAAAGAATTAAGTGACTTGCAAAAACAAAAAATGAATATAGACCATCAACTGGTCTGCTACATTCAACCAGAAATTTATGGACTCATACAACGCAACATCAACCTAATCAACAACAAGGAAGATAAAGAAAAAAAAAGATCCGCCATAACGAAAAAGTAGATCAACTAAGGCGCGAACAACAGAAAAGACGTCAACACGACGAACCATCAACCAATCTCATAATTAACAGATCCAACCTATAATTAAGCGCTGAAGAGGTACATCTGTTCAACAAAGAACTTAACTTCGCAGAAACGCCAAGAAATATTCCATTTATTGAAATGAAAGCATGCCTTGAATACTTAGCCAGAAGACTAGTGATCCATTCTACACAGACCAAAAACACCAACAAAACTACGGAAAACAACCACCGGAAAGAAAACAACATCAACACCAATTCCATCGATAACCAACAACCTTTTCAGGTAAAACTGAAATTATGTATTTCCTCGAAACACCTCAAAACAGTATTTTAAACAATTTTTAAAAAGAATTCTTACACAAAACCACCAACATAATTTAACAGAAAACAAAGCTAAAAAGAAACCTAAAAGAGAAAAATATTAATTCTATAAACAACCTAAAATAAGACAAATTCCAAAAGTAGATAAAGGCAATGCCATTGTAATAATGAACACAAGCGAGTACATTCATAAAATGAATGACATCCTATCAGATACAACCAAATTTAAGCCAATCCTCAAAAATCCAACAAAAGCACACGAAAACCAACTAAACAAAATGCTACTACAATTAAAAAAAACAACAACACAATTTCAGAAAACTTTTATTCCTACCTACGTAAAACCGACCCCCGCACACCACAACTGCACAGCAACCCCAAGCCTCACAAACCCGATTGTCCACTACGACCCATAATGTCAACCTATAAATCCTTTAACTACAACCTTGGTAAAACCAACAGGATCCTTTTTTAAGGACTCTTTTAACTTTAAATCTATTCTGGATCAACTAAACCATAAAGCCTTAACGGCCAGTTTTGATGTAATTTCTCTTTTCACTGAAGTCCCAACTACTGAAGCCTCAAGATAGCTTTAGAACTTTATATCCAAGACCCCAACCCATTAATACGAATTCACAGCAGCCAACTAGCAACTCTTCCAGAATTCACTGCCACCAAAACCAACTTCATGTTCAACAACCAAAATTACATACAAATAAGTGGCTTAAGTATGGGCAATCCAATTTTAGCCAACACTTTTATGACACAGATTGAATCTCAAGCGGTCAATTCAGCCTTACACCCACCATTATACTGGTACAGATATGTTGACGATACATTTGCTGGATTTACATCTGCAGAACGTATACTTTAGTTTTTTCAACCACGCTAATTCCATACAACCCAACAATAAGTTCACCTGTGAATACGAAAAAGCTAAACAAATAACATTTCTTAAACTCAAGATCAGAAAAACCGATACACAATTCAAAACAAAAATCCACAGAAAAATCACCCATACTGGACTATACATTTCCTGGGACTCAACACATGAAACAAAACAAAAACTCAACATATTAAAAACCAAATACAGCCACAAAACTATGCTCACCAGATAACATTAACGAGGAAATCAAACAATTAAAACAACACTTCCTCGACGTCCATAAATTTCTTTCAAAAACCGTAGATAAAATCATACACACATACCTAGGCCAACAACACAATCAACAGCAAACAAACAATAATACATTCAATGAAACAACTAACTATAAAACCCTGTACTGTTTCATACCATATGTTCCCGATATTAGCGATAAAATAATCAACATTTGGAAAAAAAAACTTAGTCCAATAAACACTAAATTCATTCAAAAATCGGGCACAAAACTAAAATCCATACTATGTTAAAACTACACTGACAAACATAACACCAACATTATTTATAAAATACAATGCAGCAACTACCAATACTTCCATATCGGAGAAACAAGCCGAAAAATGGAAACCAAATTCAATGAACACAGAAAACACCTTCCCACGTTTTTGAACACTGCAAAACTAATAAACACAACATAAGCATAAAAAACACCAACATATTAAGTAGAGAAACAAAGGCAAAGAAGCACTACTTATAGAATAACTCAAACCGAAATTGAACCAACATAAAGGAACGTCTTTATACCTATATTAATCACCTAACATCTAACTGCTACGCCCCCTCAATCTCGACCTGTTCACATTCTCGTTCCTAAGCCACGTGCCCAGTAACGGTCAATTTCAAACTGTTTTTGTTAACATGAAGATGACGTAAGAAGGTCGAAATGTTGTTTTGTACTTTATTTTAATTAAAGTTTTTAATACCCATACCAGCCGTCTCTGCTATATATTTGTACTTCAAATGGGTTTCTCGTCATCATTAATCACTTGGATTAGTTGACGTTAAAGGACAAAGTTGTTCATTATTCTAGTAGTAGCTTTCTTCTCGAAGGTTTTTGTTATACGACTTGATTGCTGTCAAAAACAAATAAACAATGACTCCAGTTTAACTGAGCAAGATATTTTTAACTGTTTTGGTGCGTAGTGAAAATCTACCAGTTGATATTCATTAAAAAGTGTCACTTTAGCATAATGATTGTTGAATATTTATTTATTTGTAAATACTCTTTGTTTGTAAAGTAAAAGATATATTTGTTTATAAAACTCTTAGAAAAATATTATTTATTTTAGGTTATTATCACTCGACTTGGTCATTATTAAACCCAATAAGGAAAGCATTTTCCGCTGGAAGGACTGGTAACATTACAGGTTATATTGAGGACAATATATTGTTAGTATTGGAGCAGTATCGACTTGGGTAAGAGTTTATTTTACCACTAGTTGAATCTGTCAAACAGGGTAAATTTGCAACAATAATTATTTGACTTTTACAGTGTAAAGAATGAATATTAATATTCTTATTAAATGACTGTTGTTTTTCTATTGTTTCACTATAGTTTTAGAGATGTGTAAGTTACCTTAACGTAGTTTAAAACCTACCCAACCCTCTTTTTACTCGCATGGAACGTTTTACTTGCATGCTTCTTCAGTTTTATCTCACTGGAAAAAAAGATTCTTCCTGGTTTCAAGACAAGAATGATGACTGGAATTTTCTTCCACATCCATAAGAAATAAAAGTGTGAAAGAAAATAATTTACCATATCGCTCCTGTAAAACGAAAGTTCTACCACCAAAATGTGAATCAGCGGTTGGCGGATAGCAGGTTTAAAATTATTGCAAATGGTCTGTCAATCTTTCATCTCTATATTTTGGAAGCCACCTTTATTAACATACATCAACCTGTACTTTGCCGCCGTCTGGAAAATGGTCGATGGGAAATAGTACAGCTTATAAAATGAGTCAGATCAACGTAGGCCGGTAAGGCAATCACTGATTGGCAAGTCCTTAAGCCAATCAGGAAATGTCACAGACCCACTGAAGGATGTGTAGATTGTATAGGAATTCTTTTTGGTTCTGCTATGATTAGTGTCTGGCAAAAAGCTTCAGCATATATTTCCTTTGCAATATCTCAACCAACAATTGGTCCAGTTATCAACGCTATTTTCAAATTTTGAACAACTCGAATTTCAAGATCTACATGTGCCAATGTTTCCGCTTATCAAAGTTATATTTTAAGATCTGTGCAAAAACACGGCACACAGATGTTTCCGCATATAAAAGCTATCTTCAAGTTTTGTACACCATAAAAATCTTTTCAATTAATGGATGAGTATTAGCACCTGTTTTTGTAATCTCTTTTCGTTCGGTTTCATTTAGACTTCAAGTACTTCCACATCTGAAATTCCAAGCTCTAGACGAACTTGTCACGGTGCTAGAAGTCTTACATAAGCCAAACAACATGAAGGCTGAGCTTGTAAACTTTAAGGATGAAATAATCAAAACTTTAGTGAATCAGACTAGTGAAAATCAAGGTAACCAAATAGGTGATTTATTATAATAGTTTGAATTATTTGCTCTGTTGTATATACAAAGTAAAACTGAAGTTGAAACTTAAACAGTAAATACACATTTAAAATCAACTTTAGACTTTGTGGAATATTTGATTTTTCACTGGACACTATATTTTAGTAAAGGTTTCAAATTGTAATGGTCTTTGAAATAAAGTTTAAAACAAGCATTGAAAACACTGAAAATCAACCTATTTTTCTCTACTGTCGCACAGATTAGAATATCAGCGACTGTGCCAGTCTTCACTGAACCAGTTTCTATTATATGGCTTGAAAATATAAATATTCTAAAGGGGAAACTTGAGAAACCTGAAGATATGTTTAATATAATCATCATTAAAACAAAGCTAAGCGACACTTTAAGCCCTTGTTAAAGATTTTAACGTCTTACTTTTGTCGTGTCATACTAACTAATTGATTTTCTATATATCTTCTTACTTCCCATATATATCCAAGGTTCTATTCTCTGCAGTAAACAGGGCGCAGTTAGGCCAGTGTGTAACTTCCTGCAATAACCACAAACATACGAACTTTCCAAGTTATTCCGGAACACAACGATATCTATAATCTCTACTAACATCTAAAAAGTCCTCTCACAGCAACAACAACAATGTTTGTCATACATTGTGGGTTTCAAAACCCTCCACACTAACACCTTTTACAATACGATAACATTGTTTTTACACATCCACTGATTCACAATTCTCACATTAGAACCCTTGTTATACCATAACCACTTTCGAAAGATTTGTCTCAGTACACTTTTTTAGGTTTGTCACATCTAACATTACACTGTAACATTTAACTTGTTTCGAAAAACAAACAAAAAATGGCATAACATAAACTGCTATTTTCTGCTCCACATGAAAAAATAAACTCTCAAATTACAAACAAGCGTTTCATTCGCTGTTCACAGCTGAAAAAGTACACACGAAACAGTCAGCTTTTTACCCGCTATTAACTCTAAAGAACTTGCAAGATAACAACCTCTTATTTTCTGTCCACTGTTAAAGACGACCATAATTAAATATAAAATTATCCGCCCTGTTTAAGAAAACAAAAGCTTTCAAAATTCAACGATCTCATTATCTTATCACCACTTTGAAAAAACTGCCCTAAAAACACAACCTAATTTACCTGAATTCACATTACAGTACTCGTTTGTCATATTACGTTCAGTGTCAAAATATGTCTTTATAAATAAATCGTTATTCACTGACCATTGTGAAAAAAAAAATTCACTGTGTGACAAAATGTTTTTACACACTGTCCATATTGAAATTATTTCTAGCAACACTAAAATATCATTACCCTCTGAATTATAAACGAAGCTCACAATTCAATCAAGTGTTGTGTTCCTCCCTCTTTAAAATCCTCTCCCATTACGGAAACTTATTATCCTGTACTCATAATTTTGTAAATCCTCATATAATGGAACAACTTCGTCTTTGTACACTTTCAAAATGTACTTTTACTGTGGAAGATGTTAAAAAGGTCCCACATATACACAATAAAACACTACCCTCTTTCTGAGACTACAGCAAAATAGTTTACAATATGACATCTTTGAGTAATTCAACAATTGCTATTCTCAACCAAAACAAATAAAAAATGTTGAAAGTAAGAGAAAAACTTTCATATTGTCGGCTACTTCAAAATACTTCACACAAAACTAAATCTCTTTGTCTTCTGTTCACACCTAGAATTACAACATAATGGTTCAAACTCTTACCAATTTTAACCACCTTCATTCTCTTGTTCTCACTAGAAGACATTTAGCAATCTAACAAACTTATGTATTGATCAAGTTTTGGAAATTCGCGTAAAGTTACGTGAAGGTTATCTACACTAACTGTCCCTAATTTTAAACTTATAGACTAGAAGTAAGGATGCTATTCAGGAGCACCACCGCTACTCTAACTGTCACTCTTTTAACACATTCACGTCCCAAAGTGCAGAATGCGAATTTGAGAAAAGGAGCTCGAACAATAGACATTTTACAGCATAGCATCTCCATTATTCTCTTTCAATACTCCAAGATATCTCAAAATACAAAACTTAGTTTTTTCTCTTCGTGATATTTGAAAGACTTCTCACTACAATACACATATTTTCTATTCACTCTGAAAGAAATCCACAGAACAATACCCTTGTTAGCCTCCGGCATTTTAAAATAGTTAAAATAAAGCAATAACATACACAGTTACTGCGTATTTCCTTGTCCTTTACTGCAACACGAAAGCCTGTTCATAACATGCAAAGATCCTTATCCTGTTATTACTTTAAATGACATCTTATCGCAAAAAAACATTTGTTCTCCTGTGTCCATTTTTAAAAGTTCTGTCACTATAAACATTCTTACTATTCAATATGGAAGCATTCTCACAAGTTATCCTTAGTCTTATAGATTCAACTAAAAACAAGTATTATAGTGCAACAGCCTCATTATTTTATCAAGACACTTAACATTATCCTATGTTCACATTAAGAAGACATTTTTAATACAATGTATTCACTGAACCAAAATCCTCCAAAATACAACTTTCCTGTTCTACTCTATCCATTCCTAAGAAAACATATATTAATATCATTATTTTTCTATACCCTGATAAATTTTTCATAACAACGAATTCTTGGATCAATTATGTAGTTTTTGGTGATAAAGTAGGGTCCACACGAGATCCGGAATAAAATATGGGGATCTGTAGGACTTGATATGGGAAGTGTTTTGTTGTAATTTTTTTCTATGGATATAGTGGTCGTAGAATTTAATTAAATATTATGCTAAGTGTCTTTCGCTTAACACATTATTTAGTATCTTCAGTCTGTTTCAACAAATTAATCCAGTTGTCATTTTACAAAATAAATTGTTTGAGGAATTTTTGTTTTAGTTAAAGAACAAAATGTATTAGCTCTTTGTAGCTGAAATAATTCGTTTTAAGAAGACGTGTAGAAGTTTTGTTGTGTGTAGGATTTCAAATGATATTACTTACTATATGCTTTTATTAACAGAATAATTTGTAAAATAACACATATAATAAACCAAGTCTGTATTGCATTTTAAAATTGTCTGAATCTTTTTCCTTCTTGGTTTTTACAGAGAAGGACACTTATTCTGACATAGTGCTACGTGGTCCTCCAATTTCAGACCTACATGTAGGTGTGATTGATTTCATCACATTTTTTTGATTTATCTTTTTTTTTCTGACGAAGAGTGATATAGTAAGATAACGAGAGACAGAAGACTACTACATTTACTTATTAGTATCACAGTTTCAACTTTTATTGGTTGGGCGTATTCCATTTAATAAAAAATGCGTTTTGTAAATATTATATAGTGTCCTTATATCTCCTTGACCCATCCAGAATATTTATTTTCATATTGTAAATTCATTTGAATTATTTGTGTATTTCTATCTTTACTGTGATAAGAACAGTTTACATAACTGTATTTCATTGCTATGGAGGTTCTCAACACCATATACGCAACATAAATTGTTTATTATGTATATAATAATAACTATATATGTGTAATACATATATGTTAGTACTTAGAAAGTATTCTTTCAAAAAGTAGGTTCACTTCATGACATTAAGATATATTTGAAGCTATTTCTATATAACGTTTGGCCCCTCAGTAGCACAGCGGTATATCTGCGAACTTACAACGCTAGAATCCGAGTTTCGATACCCGTGGTGGGCAGAGCACATATAGCCCATTGTGTAGCTTTGTGCTTAATTACAAACAATATAACTTTTGTGACCTTATGTTATTCTATCACTTTTAATCAATAGTTTGTTCATGCAGCTTATTTAAGCTGTACCGTTTGGATATTTTTTGTCGATATCAGCAGAATAGTTAGCAACAGCATTGGGCACCTTTAGATTTCAAAGATATATTAACATTGTTTCATGCCGCTTTCAATCGACAGATTTCTGTTGATAATGTAAGTTTGTTTTTCGATTATAAAAGGCCTTACATGAAACATCAATTATGTTATAATTTTCCCTCCCCCCCCAATTATGGTGTAGTCAGTCATCAGTCAAGATTAACGTTAAATAAGAACTAAATATGACACCGACTACAAAACCAAAAATTAACGTCTTTGTTGCTAGTTCTGTTTTCGGAAAATGGACAATTTTTTTTAGTTTTCCTACTAATATCTATATCAAGTTATGAAGCTTTGTGCTGTCGACTATTGTTGTGTAATAAGCTAAGCAGCAGTAAGAAAAAAAAATAAAATGATTTAAAAACTGGAAAACGATGTATTCCTCATGTACAAATACAGCAGGTAAACGTGGTCTCTACCGCTAGAGAAAGGCATTAAAACAATTCAGTAATTTGAGGATTAAAAGAAATCGGAGCATTTTCTTTACCAAATTACTCTTTTAGTGATTGCATATATTTTTTTTTCCAGACAAGGTGCTCGTGTAACCATGGTGATAAAAGTGTATTTCACATTCATTGTTTGTAAACCAACCAGGAAGAGAAATAGAAAATCAAATAAATTTTATGTTAATTTTTTAGCTATGATAAAGGTTTTTATAGGTAAATAATAAAAACAATTGTTGACAACATTCTCTGAGTTACCCATAATTTTTCTCTTCCAAGTCACTGTTGTTTGGTTACGGCTATTCAACCTAGGTTGTTTTCAGGCTTCTCATACATTTTGTGATATTTCTATTTTCTTCGTTTATGTGGTAAATAGTACTGTCTACAACTACTCTTAAATATCCAGATAGTTCTTTCAATTTGTTACCTCTCTTCTGAGATGCCTAAAAGTCTTTCTTTTTGCTTGCTTCTGTCATTTTTCTTGTAAAATTCTCCTCAGGATCCTCATTGTCAGCATCTCCAGAATAGCAGCACAGTTACTGTCATTGCTAGATTCTGATGCTGCCAATATTGTTATAGATTTTAATACCTTCTGTGTAACTCCAAAGTAAGCTATATTTATACTCTGTTTATCTCAGTCCATGTTCGCTTTACTGATGCCTAATTACAAGATGATACTAGAATTTCTGTGAGAATCTATATTCTATTGATTCGTTCCACTAGGTACGTTAGGCATTTGATTCAGTTCGTAAATCATTACTTTGACGCAGAAGTAAAATATTTATCACTAAAGTATATCTAAATCTATGGTATGTCATAGCGTACTCTTGCATTGAAAAAAGTGTTACAAACGTTCTGATATCTACCAGAAACTGGATGTGTTACTTATATGAATACAGTTCACAAACATAAAATTTTCTGTTCTCTGATGAAACGAAGGTAAATTTATGCCTAAAAGTTTGAGTTATTACTTGGCTGGCTGGACTATTATAAGAATGTTTGTGTAACACTTTTAGTAAATGAATGCTGAATATTTCTTTGTTTACTTGGACTAGAATAGATGTTTTGTAATGATTTTACAAACATTTACAAGTTCCATGGGGTTTTGAGTCAACTTGTTACCACTCTTTTTAGATGCCTAAAAGTCTTTCTTATTGCTTGCCTCTCTCATTTTTTACATTCAAAAAGGGCTGAAAACCCCATAGATATTATACACACTTCACTATTATAATGAGCCTAATTGTATTTCTTTATTTTGCTGACCCAAACTGTGCTGATGAGCCTTGAAAAGGCGAAACGCAGACCACAGCAGAGTTACGGCTAATCAAGGAATGCGTTAGGTCTGTACACGTTATAGATTGTCTATTCAATTTCACATTTGGAGAAAAATAAAATAAACCTTTAACATATATATAATTACAAATTATGTTTCTTGTTGTCTAGGCTAAAGCTATGTTTCAAGTTTTGGAATATCATATGGAATTAAATATGGAAGACAATTTCGATAGTAAGAAGAGGAAATCATCCAGACAAGTAATACACGACGTCAACGTCATCAACATGGGTGTGTGTCACAGCTTGAATGTTAACAAGGTCTCATTAAATGCAACATTTCCTCATTTCAAAGTGTACATCATTGTGAATGAAGCATATTCTAAATTATATACGATGTTTCATGAAGAAATCTCCATTCCGTCTTTACTTAACCCGGCGAAGCATGTTTCAGTAAGTATTTATAAAAATAATGGTCTTTCTTTGACTAGCTTAGAGTTAAAGATGAGTCACGGATGTTTATTACGTCAACAATAATTCATCTTTTGTAGCTACAAACATTTACATCCAGAGCTTCAATGACAATATTTCAATAAACTAACTCCTTATCTACTCACTACCAACTTTACAGTCTAACTTTCATAATGTATTAAATCTAAACATTTTCTTTTGTTTCCTTAAACTACAAGATTGTTCACGCATCATCTGAAATAATGGTGGTGCTTTAACCAATCTACATAATTCGAAATATTACATTTTATTTTGTAAAACTACAAAAATTATTAAAACCACAATAGTTTAATTTAATTTTACAGCAGTTCACTGAATTACAGTTCAGAGTTTCATGTAACACTGCATAGAAAGATAATTATTTCAGTATTTGCAATAATCAAGTTGGATCGATTTGAACATTTCTGAAAATATTAACTAGTTTAAAATGCTGAAGTAAAAGTTTTAGACGTTTTAGTGTGATAGTAGCAGTGCACGTCATAGGTTAACGAGTGTTATTGTAATGACCCTACTTTCTACTACAGTTGTTTGTTGGAATTTATGATATACTCCTTACAAGGAATACAAATATCTTCACTGATATTTGGGCCACTGACCTCCTTCATCCTCCTTGCTAGTACAGTATGGATCGCTGAATCGGTTATTGAGGCATGGTTGGGTGAAATGCACTTGACTACTGTTCGGCTCTTATCAAGGTATTGTCCGTGGATAACACGTAGTTTGTGAATGGTTATTCACTAATGTGAAGGCTGTTTTCAAGCACGTATAATAAAAACACGAACCAGAAAACAAATCACAAGTAATCATATATAACCTTGCCTACTAAGGTGGCCAATTTAAGTAGAGGTAACAGGTATTCAAGGGGGAGATATAGTATTTATTTTCAGTTTTATGTATATTCTTATTAAGATTATTCATTTGCATGTCATGGTGGTCTGCAAAAGAAAAGAAAAACGTAGACATTTCCTAGGCACTGTGTCAACTCTCTGAATTATAACAGTAGTGTTTACGTGATTAAGCTGTATCTTGTACATGACACCTGGAACTCTACAAACAGATGTACACGCAGTAGTGTAGAACATTGCTTCCTTCTAAAGAGGTATTTGTATTATTTTATGATTCCCCTGCATGAAGAAAAGACTACACAAATATTGCTGAATATTCTACATTTTCTAGTATTACTTAGGTTGAGGACCTGGGAGTAGTAGAAAGAGCTTTGGAGGTACTGCCACACATTAGGAAGTATGAACAGGAAACCCTGGAGAATACATCTAGTCAGATACAAAAGACTAGCATTTGAAGCTATAAGGGATGGATGTTTTTTGCATTTATTACATAGTATCTCCTACCTTACTTGATCAATTTTCAATCATCTGCATTAGTGGTGCCTATTCTTGCTAGGGAACTTAATTTCTTGCTACTTAGCTTACTGTCTAGATTTATCAAACCAGAAGTTGTACAGAAAAGTAATACATTAGCCAAACTTACCAAGCTGGATACATCCAAGAAGGAAAATCACATGAGCATCAAAAACTTAAATATTGTATCTGAAACAAAGATGATTCTAGTTACTGCAACTGAAGGTAATACTGTTACACACTCAGGCTCTCAAATTTAGGTGTGACTGTCAGCAGGTTTTTATTTCACTTCTGAGCAAGCTAATGGAGAGATCTTGACTCCATTACTCAACGATCAGACATGCTGTGTCAATACATCCATGGAAAGGTATTCACTCAGTTATTCAGTGACTAGACATTTTGTGTCAATAGATCCTATATTTATGGTGACAAGTTTAGAAAATGCTATAGAAGATTTCAATAAACTGTTGTAATGATACTTTAAAACACGAATGTGATAACACCAACACAATGTGACACAATTCTTTTACAGTACAGACATTTGGTCAGAGCAGTAAAGGAAGAGTCTGAATCGGAGTTTAGGAACTACAATTTCTCTACTATACGGTTTGATACATTTCTGTTGAGATATGTAAAAGAAGATATAAAAGAACTTAGAAATAAAAAAATGGAAGAAAAGCAGAAAATCTGAAGAGAGAAATTAAGGCATAGAAATTTAAATTCTACGTTTTTTTATCAAAGTAATTTGTGTTAATTTTTGTATTACTTAAAATAATAACTGTATGTCAGAAGGATATCGCAAATAGTATATTTACATTATGTAATATTTAAGAAAATGAATACAGACATGTGGAAGGATCGTACAACTGAAGAAGTGGTATGGAAGTTTATTTAAGTTGTCTGTACCACCATGGATAACAGTGTTATAGTTAAACATTTAAAACACAGATACTCAATGGATAGTTGTTTAACAAAAGAAATAAAAAGTGTAGTAAGTCAAAACTTTCAAATATTAATTTTCTTCTGACCATTAACACCTGTTTCCTTGTTTTTAAATAGGTAAATATTCCTGGAGCTCACAACTCAATTATCAATGCATTAAGTAGTGAAGAAGATGAATACATAGAAAACATATGTTTGTCTCTAGTGCAGTATTCGATGGAACATTTTCATTCGTATTCGTTAAGTCAACACAACATGCTGGCCAGTGAAGTGCTTGAGGTGAATTTTCTATTTCCCAAGAATGACACTATACTTCAAATTGACGATATAGGATTAGAGATTACATTCCCAGTAATTGATGGTTATACAAACTATGTGGTGAGTTTTTCTTAATTCCCTGCACCTCTATTAAATGTGAACTTCAGAAAAATCGAACAGATTCTGAAAGCTGTATTGCTTTCTGCTTTGAATCTGATTGAAGTTTATTTAATTCAGAAAAAGCTCAGCGCTCACTTTGTTGTTTTTCATTTTGTTTGGTGACTTATTTAAGTAACCTTCAGGAAAGTTGACCAACTACTGTGTGTTATGGTACTTGAATATATATGATAGTTGTAAACTTCGGGAGACCAATTTTCCTGTGTTATGTTGCCTCATTTAGTCTAGGGTCTATTCTGTGTTCAATCATTAGGAAAATGATGAAGTACCATGTGTTTTCTTACATTATCTATCACTACTTTATGTGAGTTTAGGATAGACCAATTATAAGTATTGTGATAATCAAGTACCTTGTGTATATTTATATTATACTAAAGTAGACAAAGTACTATGAGTTGTATTATATTGTTTTGGTGAAGATCCATCCACACCGTGCGAAGTAGTTACATGGACATACAACTGGCAACAGACAGTATTATTATATTTATATAAATACATGATATGTTTCAGCACGTACAAAGTCCATCACTTAATATATGATTTATTACTTCAGTCGTTCTTTCTTTTCGTTTCCAATATCGGTTGGTTGCCACATTTTTTCTTTGTAGCAAATATTTCCTTACAGTTATTACTGTTGATAAATCGTGATAATAAGTATATTTGAATAGTCAGAGATCCTTACAGCCTAAGCATGGTATGATTACAAATCTTCATGTATACAGAACAATAATCTGGCACATTTCCTGATCAGTTTTCCATATGCATATAAATAGTGTGGGATCTCAAAAATGTAGCCGACCAGTGTTTAACATCGACACAAGACATTGAACATTAATTTGGTTTATTTTGCGGAATTAGCTTATAACATATACAATATGTACTGGCGAAACATAACTCACAGAAATTGGTAATTTTCCCACTTAAAATATAACTGTGTTGGAATTTCCGCAAATCTAGATGAGAACTCTCTGCGCTAACTGTCCCTACTTTAGAAGTGATAGCCTATAAGGAAGACAGCCAATACAACCCACCGCCAACTCTTGTAAGGTCAAATACTGGGATTTGACCGTCACTCTGATAACGCATCCACAGCTCCAAAGTGCAATTTGTTTTGGTGGTAACAGGATGTGAAACACAGAGCCTCGGCTTCACGGTTCGGCACGCTTACCACTGAAATGCGCTCCGTCCTTAAAGTGTAATAAAAATGTGATAATGTTTGGGTCTGAAAGTATAACAAACGTCTAATATTTTGGTGGACCATTTCCGCCAACACTTATTAGTATTCAACTATATTTAACCATATGATGTGAACAACATTATGAAATATTTATATGGTAGTCAACAACCATTCCGAAAACAGATTAACTCTGATGCAAACAGAAGAGCTCAGTTTTAGTGACACCTCAAATGTAAACTGCACACAATGGATGTTTAAAAGTGTATGACTTCATCTGATATAGAAAACACATAGTATTTATCCTGCTGGGGTTCTTCCGACAGTGCAATTCACTTAAAGTGTTGTAATGGTGTGAGAATTGCCTTGTAGAATGGTTTTAGCCTTTCGGTTTATTTTAACAGTGTGAATAATGACGTCGCATGAATCTGGACATTATCTCCAATAATGTCTACACCACAGTGTTTGATTTTCACTCTAGTACATGACATCTCTACTGAGGTAGAAATGAAAAAACTGTTGTCGAATTGTATAAAACTATTTCAAAAAAGCGTAGCAATGTCTTCAACCACCTCTCTTGCCTGAAAGGTCACCAAATATAAACTTAAGCAAGCAGTTTTGGGTTGAACTCAAACATTGCATTTGCTATCATAAAGCTTTCCAAAAATGTGTAGTCTAGCCACAGAGTATACTTCTTGATGAAGAGAGGTTACAACCAAGAAGTATCGTATGAAGTCTGAGTTTCGCCAATTTCAAAAATGAAAATAATACAGTGAAGAGTTGTCCAATTTGTTATTAAGTGAGGCTCTAATAGTGGCTAGCATGAAGTCTGCTAGACAAGATTTGTTTTGTATATGGTAATCAATTACGATATGTTGTGCTAAATGAATTATATTGTCTATTTTATATTTAAACTTCAGGAAAATAAAGTATTATTGCTTGGTACATTAGTTAAGTGTCTAGATCTTGTGTTAAATGTTCTTCCCTTAATTAACAATTTTTATTAGTTAAGCTATTTAGTAATTCAGCTCTTCTACAACCAAATTGGAAATATGAACAGGAAAAGCCAACTAAAATGGCTTAAGAATTGTGTCTTTATTCCGTCTTTATCATCTACTGAAGAAAAAAACACAGAAAAGGTCCAGTAAAGGTCATCTTATTAAAGCAGCTGCTAATGGAATCGCTGTTGGAATATCTTACTTAATCCACATTTTTACTTATTCATAAGAAATACTATTACATAACGCTGTTCCACTGTTAATAATAGTAACTACATTCTTGTGGACTAGACTTCATGCTGCTTACATTACATGTCTAATAAAGGCTACAATCTCGATCTGTTCTAATGAAATGAACTGTTCAGTAGTTTTCTCTTTCACCAACTTGGTGACCAAATTGCTATATAAACTTTAATTTCTCGTAAAAATAATTTGTTAATAACTTGAGAATGGCGCCATTTTTGTTGCAGTGTTCGAAATGGACGAATGACAGTTGGAAGGAAAATTATTGCAAAACAGAAGAAATTAGAGAGTCTCAACACTATATCAAGTGTACATGTTTGACCCCAGGATTGTATAGGTAAGTAAGTATCATGTGAATTTAATACTGGTAAAAGAAGAAGATAACTAAACCACCAATGGTTGTCCTGGCGGGAAAATTTAAAGTATTTTTTTCCCTTGATAAAAGGTATACATATGTAAAAGTAGACTACTAACCTTAGCAACCTTCCTCATCTAAACACATAAGTATTCACTACGAAATACTGAGTGCAGTCAACTTATATAGACAGGTGAGAGCTTATTTGTCTTGTTAAAATATGGGTTAACTTTCGTGTTTATGTTTATATGGTTCCTATTGTACTTGTCAATACTATCAGCCGATTGCGACATTATTATCGTGATGTAAATCACGACCAAATAGGAGAAAGAAGGATAAAATTGTGCCTTTTCTGAAAAAAAGAGGGCGTCATTATGATATCAGTGAACAGTGAAGAGGAAACAATAAATCAGATAAATCATGAAAGAATATACAGATTTTTACAGAAGAACTCGTTAAGCTTCGTTACTTCTTACTTTTGGTTAGTATGAATAAATTTCACGATATAAGCTTACGAACTAAAAGTATTAATTAAAATTATTCCGGATAATATATATATATACACACTATTCTACCAATAGTCATCGGACACGGGTAGTTATGAATAAAATATGTCTTTATTCCATAGCGTATTGGCCCACCTTTGGCCTTAATGACTGCTTAAATGTGTCGTGGAAGATTGTCAAGTAATTTCGAGTGGAAAGCTGGTGCTATTGTGCTCCACTCCTTCTTTAAAGCATTAGTTAACTCCATTACTGAAGACGTCCGTTTTGGCCTTGACCTAATTCTGCGTTCCAGTCATCCCAAAGATGTTCTATCGGGTTGAGGTCGGGGTTCTGCACTGGCCACTGCAATGCGTTCACAATCCTCGCTTTGTGACATGGAGCGTTATCATGTTGAGAGGTGTAATGGCTAGTACCATAAAATTACCACACTGTAAGACACACAGAATTGTTCAGAACATCAATATAGGAATCAAACTTTCATGGATCCATGCACTACGATCAGCGGACCTTGTTCATACCACGAGAAGCACCCCCAGACCATGATATCTCCACCTCCAAACTTCACTGTTGGGACAACATACTCAGGTAATAAGCGTTCTCCAGGCATCCTCCATACCCAAACACGTTCATCAGACTGGAAGGGCGTGTAGCGTGACTCGTCTTTCCACAGGATTGATTTCCGTTGATTCGTGGTAAAGGTTTGGTGTGTCTTGCTCCATGCCAGTCGATGGTGTGCATTTGTTTTCATTATCAACGGCTTGTGGGTTGCAGCTCTTCCGTTAAAATTCATGGCATGCAGATCTCGACGTGTCGTGAAAACACTTATAGGATTGCTTGTGGCTGCTCGCGCCTCTAAACACAGATTCTCTAGGGTATGATGGAGATGAGGTAACCAGCCTTCTCAAGGCGCGTCGGCTCCTGTCAGTCAGTATTTTACACCATCCTAGTCGTTTCTTGGGCTCAATGTCACCTGTGAACTTCCATTTCATCAACACGTTGCCAATTGTCGACCTGGGAATGTGTAATTGTTGCGCAATATGTTATGTATTACAATTTCAAATTGCCTAAAACTGATTTAAATTGTAATTTAGGCCTAGTAGTTAAATCAATGCCGATATTTAATACAAATATATTTTAATATACAACCAATAATACAATTTACAATAAAAGTTATTACAAATAGTTACTACAAACAATGATTTATATACAAAAGTTTTACAAACTTACAAGCAATATAAAGTCTTCTTTCTAATCTGAAACGTCCTTGATATCTTATCGAGGGTTCATAATGAGCGAGTTAATTTAGAGTTGATGTAGGTACAATTCACCTAATAGGGAGGTGGCTAGTTCTGTGTTCTTCGCCGATTTTTCGTAAAAGTACTAATGTCCAACGTGAATGAACTTAAATGGTTTGTAATGTTCAAAATTTATAAATGTTCCTGGCCAAATATATAAAATTTCCCGATTAATAAGCGTTATAACCATCACAGTTATAGCTTCCGAAGTTTGTAGCACACCAACTATAGCAAACCAATAATATATGCTGTTTTTAGGCGCGTTGCGTTGGTTATATTTATAGGCGTGTGGAAAGTTTCTCGAAAATTCAGATTACTCGACAAAACCAATGCTACACGAGCGTTGACGTACACACGTATATTTTTTATTCTTACGCTCGAGAATCTTCTACAACGTTAGAAAATAGGCGGGGATTTCACAATACATATCTAACAGTATAAGTTATGTACATTTCTAAATATATATTTAATTTAAACAAACATCGATAAGAAAAATAAATATATAATAGTAAATCCATCACAAATAGCACCTACAGACATTTTCTCCAAATGACATCCAACTATCCTTCCCCTCTGGAACGCTGTTAGCTCTTTCCGCATACTCATTATTCGGCGCACAAATTTGAAATGACTTCTGATCATCTTTATAAGTCAAACTATTTGTATATTTCATCTTCACACCCATTTTCCCGCAATCAGAGGTGTGTCCAATCAATTTTGGTTGGACAGTGTGTGAATATATATATATAACGACGAGATTGTCTTTGCAGAAAAGTATATTAATACACTATTTGAAAGACGGATGAACATTATTCATTGGGAAGTACAGACGTGTTCCATCTATATGCATATGCTTGTATAAAGATAGCAAGTTGATCTGCAAGAGCAAGTCTTTATCAGACGAACACAAGTACAGTGGATACGTTGTGACAGACACAACAAAACAGGGATTAAATTACGGGAGTTAAAAAAATTTTAATGGATATTAACCAACAAGTGAGTAACTTAATCAAATACTAATGTTCACTCTTTCAACAGATATCATAAGTTTTTAAAACCAACCTTGCATCTATTCTTATTGCTTTACTTTCTAGAATTACACTTTTCACTGCTTCTGTATCTTAATAAGAAACTTTATTTCATACAAACAAAACAAAGTCTGGAAACGAATTCAATAAGGTAAATCTAATTAACTTTGTGTGTGCCATCCTGTAATCTTAACGATATTTACGTTGTGTTTGTTCCTTTTTATTAAATTGAAATCAGAAGCTTAGTAGAGCGAAATATTTCTTTTTATTTCAAATACGCATTCCACGACACATCAATGAAATGGTCCTCTATAACGAACATTCAGAAATACTCTGACAGCTTCTACAGTATTTTACTGAATGGGCATCCTTGATGACCTAGACGACATAGTGTGCAACAGGCCTCTAATTTGTGTTTCTATAGAGAGGCAACACTTGCTGAGGTCAATACTTCTTTGAGCTAACAATCTTTCAACTCGTAGAGTCGTAAGTTGTTTCTAACCAGTATGGATGACATAAATCAAATACTATTTTACTCGAAAGATATTCGGTTTTAACTAATAATGATGTTGAATCCGTATCAATTTCTATTCTTTTCCTTTAGCTAATCAGTAATTCATTAAAAACGTTCAGGCAACCTATTTTTGAATTAAATATACAATGCTGACGTTAGGCTAAACTTAGAACCGAAAAATTATTGTATTTAATCTGTGTTCAATGAAATAATATGAATATGACCCAAACATATTCAATCCTATATTTTTAAACAAAGTGTAACAAGTGCAAGTTGTGTTTATGAAACACCTATGCACTCGTCATTGTTATGTTGTATGTTTAATTCCATCCAACTTAATGATGTAGTATCTGTCCATAAGATTGGGACAAATTTCATATGCAGCAGTGACCTTTTGACCTTTGGCACGTAACCTTCAAAAGTTAATCAGACTTAGAACTATGTATGTAGCACCTTTTTATGTTTGGTCGATATCCATTCATCCTTTATTGAACTATCATGTCACAAGTTTGTGGAAGATTTTCTATGTACCGGTGAAATTTTGACCTTGGGCCCATGACCTTCAAAAAAAGTAATATATGGTTTTGTATATAGTACCTGTTGTATAAATGTATGCAAAATTCATCCATTCAGTCCAATCTTGATACATACTGTCCACAAGACCGGAACAGAGGGGTGAACGGATGGAAGGACATGTGCAAACTAATATGCCCCGTGTTGGCATGGTTCGGAGTGAGGCCATAAAAATAGGGTGGATGATGTAAAAATTGGGACTATTCTACACATTTCATTGTAAAGTGAAAATACAAACACCGAACATATTGGTTTTTAAAGCTGGTCCGCCTGAAGGAAGATTTTGAATGGTATGTATAGTTGCTCACGATAAGTCCTTGAATAGGAAAAAAAAAGTTAAAAAGCAACAACAAAGGAGCGAATTGCGTAATAATTTCCAATATATCCACTGTAAAATAGTTTAGTCTTATATACAATATATATATATATATGTATCTATATACTTCCTTACACGGGGTCTGATAGTATATGTTAGCAAGCATCCCCATATAATTGTAATGTCATTTCTAACAAACTCAATCAAAATAGCAATTTAAGGAAGTTAAGAGATGTATTATAATTATTATACATTTTATTGCTAGTCACATAAAAAATAACGTGATTCGTCAGCATTATTAAACAGTTTTATAATCATTAACACACAAACTACTGAGCTAAATTTCAACTAAGACATTATGTGTTTGAATTTATACAGCTTGATTAGTTCTTGTTAAGTGAAAAGCATGAACAATGGTCGTAAGAAACGAAACCTATAAAATCTTATCACTCATTCTTTTTACAGAAAACTACTAATGATATACTTCGGCACCAGTGTAAAATTATTAACATGTTTAACACTAGTTTTATGTTATGTAGTGAGTATATTCAAACGACAAAAAATAGTTTCCAGTAATACTCATTATATACAACGATAAAACAACCCATAAACCGAGCACTTTCGAAAGATGGACCGTTCTTCTTCAGGGTTAAAGCGGAAATGGTGGTGTAACTTAATGAGTGATACATAAAGGAATTTGAGTGACGTCATGAAGGTCACCTGGGCTTCCAGGAAGTATTCTTGTATATTTTTCAATGTACTGTTGCAAGTGTCTCATTTCCCGCATCAACACAGCCGGTAACGAGAGCGTTTTGTAAAAAAGGTGTTAGAGATATTTGCTTTACAAATGGTCGAGAAAAACTATAATTAAGTGTTATTAAAGTGACACATGAAGGTTGACTGAAAAATAAATGTTAAGTAAATCAATTTCTAAAGACAAGCATGGAAAAGTATCATAAATAAATAGTATTAGAAAGATTAGTAGTAAACACCAAGAGTTCACACCACATGAAAAAATTAATTAAAAATTATTTTTCTGACAGAGAACAAACAAATGATCGGAGGTTACCGATTTCAGGATCTAGATTTATTCCACTAGGTTGAACAGTATTTAGATTAGGAATCCAATAAACTTTAAAATAAATTTTCTTTATTCTAAGAGCTTGACTGTAAGTAATTTTCCGTTTAGTGTGAGTGGTGACAGCTTTTATAGTGAAAGTACTGTGGTCGGTCTGGTTATAGGGTTTTAATCGTGTTATATTAAGACTTCTTGAACATGCGCGTTTTGTTTTTTTCCGACATCATGAATATAATAAGTGGCGAAGTACATAAATTATTGGAAATATTATGGACTATTTTTACTGGAAATCCGTTTTTGACTGCTTAATATTGACGATGTGCTTAGATTTAACAGTCTTATAGAAACGCTTCACTACACTAATTATATTACTAGAAAGCACACTGCTCCATCTTTAGTGTTATCCATCTTTCAAACTTATCCTTCAAATGACCGATATAAATAATGTTACAACTAAAACTTCCCCAGCCAACTCTAAGATATTTAGTTTCGAATAAAATAGCTCCATGTTAAAAAAAATCACATTTTAATAAAAAAATATTTTAGTACACAATTCTAAAAATTACTTTTCCCAGTCTCAAAAATACTGTACAGGAGAGAGAAAAACAACAACAAAGAGACTGGGAACACTCTCATACACATGACATGTTTTACCGCATCATCTTCAGGAGTGTAATGTGCAAGAACCACACTTATTTAAACCATTACAAAAATCACCGTAATACAGTTTACACGTTAAAGAATTTCATGCCATCTTCTGACAACATTTCTATCAGGTCCATCATCCTTAATCAATATTTTAAATTTACTTTTTTATAGTTGATTATTTCAATAAATTCACGTGTATATTCATACTAATAACATTTTCAGTTTCTGCTAAAATAACAGTTTTTTTCACACTAAATTAAGTGTTTAGTTTCATTAATATGTTCTGCTAATGGTGAAATAGTAATATTACTGTTTTTCGATGAACGTTCTGTGTAACACTCAGTGGTTGGAAGCCGTTTTATAGCAAGATACTTTACAATGAGATTTCAAGTGGATGTCGATATGGCTGTTTTAAATGTACGTTCACAACTATGGGGTTTCAAGGACAAAGTGAAAAGTTATATTCATAGTGTTATTTCAAACAGTACTGGTATATAGGTTAACTTTTACAAATAAAATATATAAACAAAATACAAGAATGTATACAAAAGTTCATAAAGACTTACTTTTATTGTATTAAAACAATATAATTGCATTTCTTAATCACGTAAAGATGATTTCTCAAGAAAATCAAGTTATCTATTGGTATATAGATTTGTTCTAAATGCAAATGAAATAATATATTATATTATTTACTATACGATGAAGACTCCAGACACAAGAGAAGTTAATACTAAGCTTTTATCAGGTAATTTGATTTTTTTCAGTGTGTCAGCGATTCCCTCAAACATCAGTGAGTCTGTAATGGCCAAAACACTACAAACGTCAGCTGTTAATGGTAAGTCCATGCGTACATAATTTAAGAAGTATTTTACTTTATCTGATAGATCTGTATTTTTCTCAATTTTAATTTCAAGAGCTTTTTTTGCAGCATAAATGAAAAAACAGCTACAGTTGTAACTTTACTGACAACTGTGATTTTATTATCTTTATTAAAATAGATTCAGAAAGTGCTACAGTAATAATTGGCGTAGTAGATGTAAAAAACATAAACTTCAAGGAACAGAAGCGACGGTTTTTGAACCAACTGCGTTATCAGCTAGCAGAAAACATGGGGATCCAAACATCACAAATTGAGAGGGTTGTGCTAGATGAAGGTGAGCAACTTTATTCTTAGTTCGTAAAGCTGATTTGCTTTCCATAATTAGACTTCTTAATAACTTCTAATAAAAGTTTAGATATTTGATTTAATGCGACAAACTGTGGAAACGAATTAACTTGCTTTTGTCAATTGTATTTGATCGATAGAAGCTAGTGAACAGGAGCAATAAGAATGATTGGTATATAAGAAATATCTGTGTTTCAGATGAATTGCTGTTGAAGTTTATAGTTCTGCCGGGATTCAACAATTCAACACCTTCTCTGACTTCAGCTATTCATACTCTCTACCACATGACCAACAACGAAGTTTTAAATCTAACGGACCTGGCTGGAGAAAGAGTTAGAATTATTCCCTACACTTTGTCCTTAAATAATTCCCTCCCCTGGACCTCAAATGATATTCTAGAAAACACTGTAGGTAAGATTAACATTAGGACAGATATACCCTTCCATCGCCAAAAGTTCTAGATTGGGATAATTCTACCTGAACCCAGAAGGACTTTGACCTGGCCGCATCGGCCTTGGTTGCTTAAGGTTACTTTCAGGCTTAAAATACCAAATACCATAATCAACATTCCTAAAACGCTTATTCTATATATTGATTATTGAATTTATGTATTTAAGGTATGTAAACTGATATGTCGTTCTATTATAACATATTCTTTGTAATGCATTATATCATAGTGAACCAGGTTCTAAGCAGTAAAAATGTAGAAAACCTAAATATAAAATGAAGGTGGCTATTATCGAATTTACTTAAGTACATATGCCATTTCTGTAATATAACAATCTGTATTATTGATATTCAAACACATTCGTGTTTCACTGAAATGTTGTAGATTTATATCGGCTTCAGTTCAAAAGGCTTAGCTACTGACATAGTTTGAAATTACCAATGTTTTAATTCATATGTATTTATACGCAACTAGTTAATATTACCCACCGCCTATGTAGATATCCTAAAATGAATAACGGGATGGCTGTCATAGTTATAGCGACAAAAACTCGGAACGTATTTAATGGCATATCGTGGCTCGAATTATGGATATTCTGATCCATAGCTCTGCAAGCTAACCATAAGGCCCCAACTGTCCCTCTGGTTATTCAGCTATATGCGCACGAAGCTAATGTGCTAAAATATAACCTATTAATACACGAAAGAACCACATATGCATGATCCATTATGCAACTATAAAGTATATGTAGATCGAGCTGATGTACAGGAATATACTCATTAGATAGAAGACACACCTGTACGGATATTTTAAATAAATCACTTAAGTGCGAATGTTACAAGTAACTGATATATGTTTATGTTTTGTGTATATTTTACTGTTTTTATGTTGAGCGAGTATATCGACGTTAATGAACGTTATCTCTGAATGTCATAGGTTCCACTGGTTTTCTACATTTTCTGTCAAATTTATGTATTTAGTTTATAGTGAGGTAAACATACTGTATTAGTTTGTATATTGGCTAACAAAGTGTTAATTTCATTTATTCATCTTACTCTTGCAGTGAAAGCCTCAAGACTGACTGTTATACAAATTCTGATTATCATCTCGGCAGTGATAGGCATGATGCTAGTGGCATCATTGGTTGTTCTCAAATACAGATGTAAGAAGATGATAAAGTAAGTACACACATGGTTGTCATGTGTACGTTATGAACTATAATCATTTTAATTTTAAGTAATTTTTAATTATGTGTAAAGAAAATATAATTATTTTTTGCTCTTTTAATTTTGCTCAAGTTTTATGTATTAGTTTTGAATTATTTGTGAGCATTATTTTTCTAATATGCTTGACATCGCATGCAAAAACATAGCACTGGTAAAACATTGTAGTTCCTCACCGGAAAGAAGAAAAAATAAAATAAGTTAAACGTCGTTAAATAGTTTGCTTTAAAAGATGAGAAGTATAAAAGTACACATCTGTAACAAACATACAGCTCGAAGGAACAGAATGGGTTTAGAGACTGGGTTCTGATGAACAAACGACAGAAAGCGCATATGGTTAAGAGATTTTTCAGACAAAATCTATAACTGAGTTTCACTGCTCATCAACCTGGTTATTGTGTCGAGGTTTAATGTACACCTAAACTCTGTATATAATCTTTTTCTGACCTGGTATGAGTTGTATGAAAATGTTAAATTACCACATGCTTTATTTTATTGTTTAGCAGGTCATTTACAAGAAAATACCTAAAATTTATTACCAGCACAGGGGGTGAAGACTTTTGCAAGACACTTTATATATATATATATTGTGTATTGTTACAGTATCATGACCACTGCATATTGTTTCATTTAACAATCCTGACATTTTGTTAAGTATTTTAAATAGGCAGATCAGACTAAGAAAGAACAAGTTTAGAACAGATTATGAAGCTAGAGTAACAAGTAAATTATGACTCTCTTTCGCGCGATAGTGAAAATAAAACTTATCAGCCCAAGCTTAAGACAACATTGTTTCCATGATTCAAGGGCAACTGTAGAATAACAGTATGTTTTCCTGAACAAAAACGCATGTATATACACACACATACATATTTATTTTGCCAACTAAAGCAGACAACAACTAAATTGTCCAAAAAAATTTTATATTAATCTCAGACCATTTTCTAAAGATTACAAAGAACAAAAGGTGCATTGTTACCCAATTTAGTAATATAACACAAAAAATATTGAAAACACATGTTGCAAAGGTCTTCACTCCCCTCAGCTTTTACCATCGTTGATTTAACTTTACGTCACTACCCTGCTAAAGTAAATTCAAGTACAACTCTATCAGATACCAAAGTATATTGTAGAGCCATGTGAAAAAATACTTTAGGTCATATAGAACCATCAGTATTGATTTAAACATAGTATTTTGAACGTTAAAATTTGGTTTACTGTTGAGAATGATGAAAAAGAACTCTACAGACCTGAGAGAGAAGATTGTTCAGAAGCATAATTCCAGAGAAGGCTATAAATCTATTTCAGATGTTCCCAATTTGACATTGAGTGTTGAAAAATCGGTTGTGAAGAAATGGAAAGCGTGTCACACTACCTCAACCTTGCCAAGATCAGGTCGCCCTTAGAAAGTCTGCTCTCGAACAAGCAGAAAAATCGTCAGAGAAGCGACTGTCAAGTCAACGGTGACACTGCAAACTTCAATAGCAGCAACTGGAGTTATTGTACACACCTCAACAATATCACGTACCTTACACAAAAAAGGCTTGTATGGTAGAGTGGCAAGAAATAAACCACTACTCACGAAGGTGCATCTTAGATGGCGAATGGAATATGCCCGTAAACATTTCAGTAATCCTACAACAATATGGCAGAAAGTTCTATGGTCAGATGAGACAAAAAAATAGAACTTTTTGGGTTAAATGACCAACGGTATTTATAGCGGAAAGCCAAGACTGCTCATGACTCAGCAAATACAGTGGTGGTGGGTCCATAATGCTGTGGGGATGTTGGTTTTTCTGCAGCTGGTACTGGAGAACTTATACGCATTCAAGGGATCATGGACAGTGCAAAATATACACAGATGTTGGATGTAAACCTGTAGAAGTCAGCTGAAAAACTAAAACTCGGTTGAAGGTTTAAATTTCAACAAGACAATGATCCCAAATACAGATCAAAGAAAATCCAAGAGTTGTTTTACAGAAACAAAATTAAAGTCCATTGATTGGCGAAGCCAAAACCCAGACCCAAATCCACTTGAAAATCTGTGGAGAAACTTGAAAATTGCTGTGCGTCGAAGACATCCTTCCAACTTACAAGAACTGAAGGATATCTGCAAGCAGGAGTGGGCAAAAATATCTCCAGTATACTGTACAAAGCTTGTGGAGGGTTTCAGCTGTCAAAGGAGCTTCAACCAAATATTAACTGCATAATCATTTTAGGGGTGAAGACTTTTGCAACATGTGTTATCAAGTTTTTTTTGTGTGTTATATCACTAAAGTTAGTAACGATGCACTTTTTGTTCTTTGTAATCTTTAGAAACTGGTCTGAGATTAATATAATAAATATTTTGGTCATTTAAGTTATGTCTTTTACAAGAAAATGCCTAAAATTGATTACCAGAAGAGGGTGGTGAAGACTTTTGCAAGGCGCTGTATATCTATCTGATCACCACATTGTTATCAATCTGCTCTAAACTTGTTCCTTCTTTGTCTGATCTGCCTACTTAGATTACTTAATAAAATGTCTGGATTGCTAAATGAAACAATATGCAGTAGTCATGATACTATAACAGTGTATATGGCACAGAGACATGTATATATATATATATCTGATCGCCACATTGTTATCAAGTATGTAAAATTAGTATAACAGCTGAAGTGGTTAATTTTATGTATATAATTGATCTTGTTATCTATTATGAACATAGAATACATATAAAATTGTGTGTCATTGCCTTGAAACGTACAGAGGTTATTTGTAACAGCATTTAAAATAATCGGTAATGTCGTTATCTACCAACAAAAAACGACGAATTTATTGGCGTTTTTATAATGTATTATAACAGACAGTACTTCTAACAGTTGCACTGTCATTTACATAATCATACAAGTAGTTTTACTGATATACACTGTTACAGGTAAGGGCTGTAGAAGTATGTTGTTAAATATTATAACTTACAAAATGGAGACTGTTTTTAACATTTGTACTTGTACGTACTATAACGTATCAAATGGTTTTAGAAGCTGTGTTTTTAAGAATTATAAAATACAAGATGATTGTTTGGAGCTCTGGTATTATCTTCTATATAAAAAACACAACTGTGTTATGCACTATAAAATAATATTAGTATTATTGAGTTTAGGTGTTCTGCCTCTTCCTTTCCTGTTTTCAAATTTACCTGTCTCGGTCTCACGATCTAGGGTGTACTGGACAGTGTTTGGGGAGCATTCAAGTCTGCAGCCTAGACAGTCTTGTCATGCTTGAGATCAGTGGCAGTTTTCATTCTGTCTCAAAGGCTGCATAAACAAAGATACTTAACACCACGATATACGGTACTGTACAAAAATGTTAAGACAAAGTCAAAAATTAGATTTCAGGCTACTTTCAAAGAACAATGGAAGGTAAATCACAGGTGAAATACTCTTTAGTACATTTCCATAAAGTGTCTTTCGATGTAACTTTTGATTTATCAAATCCCAGATCTGCTTAATTGGGTTGTGTGGGCCTTTGCATTAGTTGAATGACATCAGCAGCTTCTTTCTTAGCTAAGTAATTTCTGCATAGGTTGGATGAGTGTTTGGGGTCATTAACTTCTTGGTAGTAGAATCATTTACCAATAATATGGAAACCGCTGGGTAAACCATGACGGATCAGTATCTGATGGTACTTGCCTGGTCCATTATTCCATCTATTTTGCAAATATCTCCTGTCGCCTCAGCAGAAAGTCCCTTCCCCAACCCATCACACTGCCTCCCCCATGCTTCATGGTAGGTGATATGCATTGAGGTAAATATCTTTCACCTTTCTTCCGCCGGACGTATAACCTACGCTTTAAACCAAATATTTCAAACTGTGACTCATCCGTCCATAACATCCTTTTCCAATCATCAACAGTCCAGTTTTGTACTTTTTTAGCAAATTTCAGTCTTTTGACAATATTTGGAGATCAAAGTAAAGGTTTTTAACTGTTACACTACCAAATATTCCATTCTCGTTGAGTCTTCCCGATACTGTAGATTTAATCTTCATTCCATACACAGTTAACAACTATAACATAAAACATGCTTATATCAATAAACACCGTCAGTAGTATGACCAGTAGTTAACTTTATCACATCATCACTTATCAACTCAAAGAGGTCGACAAAGGATTGTGAGGGAACAAAGATGTACATTATTTTTTATGATGTAATAAATAAGAAAACCATTCTTTCACCTCATTGGATATATCATTGTAATTTCCTTGATAAAGTCCTATAAATACTTATTTCTAGTATGAAGAATATTTTCAGAAATGAGATTTTACCACAAAAACGACAGAGCGTTTGTAAACACATCACATTAATTCGTACAGATAATTGGTTCATTAAAGCAATGTCTATGTATTACCAGTCTGCTGTTAATTTTCAATGTCTTTTCATCTTAGTGTTCCTTTTAAATAGCTTGTAAGCTACGACCTTGTGATATTTATTGTTATTGATTTCAAAGAACTAAAAACCAGTGTGTGCCAGTATTTTACTTTATGTCCTGAAGAATCCAAACATCACGCACTTTTAATGGTGAGCAATCCAAACACTACAGCCCCCCAGTGGCACAGCGGTATGTCTGTTGACTTACAACGCTAGAAACTGGGTTTCGATACCCGTGGTTGGCAGAGCTCAGATCTCTATATGCGGTAACTAATGAAGAATTTAAACGCCATACAGAAAGGTGAATTCAGCATTTACTGTTTGTGGCAGTTGGCTTTAACACCATTAAAAGTGCGTGATGTTTGGATTCTTCACCATTGCAACCATTCTTCAGAGTTACTGATGAGAGATACGACTCTTCGAAACCAATTTAATTCTTGCTTATTTTTCTCGTATTGTGACTCACGAGTTATGTGACGAAACTAATATGAGGGTAGAAAACTAAACAAAAGGAAAAGTCGATAAATCACATTTATTTGTTTCATTGTACTCAAATGAGTTCTTAGATTTTGTCGAACATGTACTGTAAGAAAACATGAGATGAAAAATATCAGATTGTTCTAACTTTACAACTGACAGACATAAATAAATTGTGTTCTTACAATAAGCACGCTTATTAACAAACTCGTACTCTTAAACTTTACTGATGCTGTCTAGCTCTCGTATAAGTCTGATAATATGTATTGAATTTAAATTTTGTACAACACTAACTCCTTATAATGTCGCGTCTATAAATAAACAAACAAAGATACACCAGAGGTATTATAATTTAAATTATATCAACATTAATAATTCATCTAAAGGCACTGATTATGTTCTAATTCTATCTTTTATTGAATTTAGAGTTGTCCCGATAACCAGTCACATCGATGTACCACCTTAGTCAGGTATGTTCTGATATACAGACTACCAAACATACCTTAATAATAAAACTCATCTTAAACTAATTTTTACCCCAATACTTCAAGGTGTTTTGTTCATATTCTTTATTATCGTTATACAGGATAAACGAAATATAATGATATCACATACATGTGCAGTTTACGTCTATCACATCCTATTAGATATGCTACAGTAATTATGATTCTGACTCCCAAAAAATCTTCATTTTCATTACAGGAGAAAAATTATAATTTCCGTTAGATCAATTAACAAATAGTTAATAAAGTTCAATAATACACGTCTACATACTTTATACGGTGACTTTCACCTTTTTTATATCGTTTTGTGCTTCCACTTCTCCTCATGCAGGTGATTCTCATTGAGAAGATAGAAATGGGTTTTTAACAGAATGACAGATCTATGAAAGACTAGATGATAAAGTATGAGATTACATTTACCTACTAAAATACTTATTGCAACTAACAAGTTATTTTACAAGAAAGCTCATACTGAAATATTTGTTACTTCAATAGAAAATACATCACAGAAGTTAATGCTCACAACTTGAGGAGTTTTAATCTCTAAATATGTTTCTATAAGGTGATTTAATGGTTGGTGTATTCACCCCTGTCTTTTTCCTTGGGAAACAGCAACAAAGTAAATTTCTTAGTATTCAAATTAGATGTCTTTATTTTTTATTAAAATAATTAGTATTATTTCTGAGAGAACAATCAGGTTTAGGCAACAGTTTGGGTACATTGGTTATGATTTTTAAGACATATTATAGCCCCCCTCACACCCAAAAAAACACAAACAACAAAACAACAACAAAGAAAAGAACAGGCGAAGTTTTGAAATCCATTAGGCGTAATGTTTGTGATATAAACGTTACACAAGAGACATCTACAGTTTAACTCATTTTTATCACAAGTATACTTATTGGATTCAAACACTTAGCCAGGTTTTCTTGTTTAAACCCTAACCATAAAATTCTTATTCTTTTCGTCTGGTCTAGTTGACACGTTATTAACGCTGAATGAAAAGCATTCTGAGCAATATCTTATTAGAGTTAAAAGACAGATCTTAAATGTAATTTCTACAGAACTCTGGTTTGAAATCTTTAATAAAAAGTTAAGTGGAAAGTAAATACAAAATCTACAGTCTAAGTTATTTGTATCATAAGTATTACGCCCAACCAGTCTAACGATTTTTAAGGAACTAAAAGAAAATAAAAAATCCAGCGTAACATCACATTAGAGAAGTGTTGTGGTAAACATTGTAACTTCATATACATAACTAGCTGGAATACTCGTCCGCAGGACGAAGGTATCTAAATTCATGATTAATGAAAGGTTATCTTAGGACATGAAAAGTTGCTTCCCTTATATGAAATTGTAAAAAAACACCCATAAAACAAACCTTCATGTCATATTTGGTGTAGACCTATCAACAGAGGGCGAAGTAGTGGTAAAAAAGCCCATAAAAGCCGCAAAATGCAAAACTGAAAATTTGTATGTATCTCCCCATGGAATCATTGAACCTCCAAACTTCGCCCTCTATTGATAGATCTTCATATTATTCGGTTAAGATCCATTGACAGTAGGCAAAAAAAGCAAAAATAAAAATTTATATGTACACCCACATGGACCTAATGAACATACATACCAATTTTGGTAAAGGTCCAT